GATCCCTGGCACCACATACACACTAGTCCCACCCCTAGGGTGGGCTGAGCTGGCCACAAATACAATAAAATAAAAATAAAAAATAAAATAAAGATTAATTTCAAACAATAAAATAAAATAAGATACACCCATAGGAAATTGTTAAACCATTAAAATTTATTTTTCAAGGAGTATTTAATAAAGAAGGTAGAACATATGCCTATTGAACATGCCCCTAAAACAAAACCACCTATTTTCTGGGTCAAAAAGACCTGCTTTAGGTGTGTCCCCTCAGTGGGAGTAAAAATACTGTAATTACAATTCCACAGCATCATAATTTGAACAGGTGCCGAGTGTTCTCTCCTTTTTTGCATGTGACACCCAGAGCTTTTAAAATTTTAAGAATCTTTTATTTATGTATTTGGTTGGACCATGGTGATCCTCCTGTCTCAGCCTCCATAGCGCTGGGATTACAGGCATGCACCACTGGTGATACCAGGTTTCAGTGGCCGGCACAGCATGCGGTACGGGTCATTGCGCTTGTCAGGCAGGTGCTTAGAATGCTGAGCTATCTCCCCAGCCCACTCTGAGCTTTTAAACATCATTTAATCCACCTTAAAGCCCATCTTTTTTTAGTTTTTCCACATCTTAGCAACCCCTTTTTCTCTGCCAGGAGATGACGGGCTTTAGTGGTTCTGTTTTCACAGCCGTGGAGTCTTTGCTCACCTGCTTTTGCTCTTATAGGTATCATGGAGCAGCAATAAATGCCAGGTTCTAGTGCCAGACTGGCAGGGCTTGAATCCTGACTCTGGCCCTGACTAGGATTGAGGGTTGTTGGGTCAGTCCCTTTCCCTAATCTGTTATTTGTGTGCATTTGTTAGTTTGTTTTCTGAGACAGGATCTCACTATGGAGTCCAGGCTGGCCTTGTAGCCTATGGTGGCCTATAGCCTAGGGTGGCCTGAAACTCAGAGATCCTCCTGCCTCCGCCTCCCGAGCACGGGTTCCGGGTGTTTGCCATCTTGCCCAGCACTTCACCTAATATGTATCCCCATTTTTGTAAGAAAGTGGAAATGGCGACAGTATCTACCTCAGGGCTGTGAGGACTGTATTAGTTGTATAGGAAGGAAGTGTGTGGTATCCTGTAACTACCCATAATATATGACTTTCTGCAAAAGTTCTTTTGTGGTACTTGGGTGGCCCATCCCCCCGTTGTCCATTCCCAGTCAGTGCTTAATGTGCTTCCCGAGTATCCGTGTGAGTGCTGCGAGGCGGGAGAGCTCTAGCTGCTCCATCTCTGAGTCCATCCTGGTGGGAGAACAAGTACCCATTCTGGTGCTGCTGTGGGCAGGGCCTGTCCTTCCGCCCTCCTCTGTTTTGGTCCTCACAGCTGCTCCTGGAGATGTGTGCTATTAATCTGACTTCTGCCCTTTGTGAGTTGGGGTAAAAATGGACAATGTATTAAAAATGAGGTGAAAGTCTGGGTCAAAATAGAGAAGTTTAGAACCACAATTCTGATAAGTATATCACTGTCTTTCATTTAAACAAGTGGTGGTGAATCCATGGCATTCATGCCACAGCCATTTATTTTTGGTGGTGGTTCTTTTTTTTTTTTTGGCGGAACCAGGGATTGAACTCAGACCTTTGCGCCTGCCAGGGAAGTGCTTATTCCACTGAGCCATCTCCCCAGCCCCCCCCCCCTTTTTTTGTTGTTGTTCTTTTCTTTTTCCCCATGTACCAGTGACTGGGCTGTGGTAGCTGCTGAGGAAACACAGATGCCATGCATAAATTACGGGATTGTTATGGCCCATTGTACCCACTGGAGTGCTATACCTGAACAAAGCCTCCAGCATCCACAGGCAGGCCACAGCTGTTTATTATCATTAAAAGCTCTAGAAAGTTCAACATTGTTCATTTAAACTAATATTCAAAACTTCTCAGAAATGTGGAAGAGCCCAGTATGGTGGCTTTTGAGACAGCGTTTCATTGAGTAGTCAGGGCTCAAATTTGAGATCTTCCTGCCTCAGCCTCCCAGAATAAAGTTATAATTGTGTGCCACTTTGCCTGGCTCAGTCATGTTGCTTTAATAGGTAGGCTCACTTCATGCGCATCTTGTGTGGTCCAGATCCAGCAGGCAGTATACAAATGTAACTGAGGGTGGGGGTGCCGGTCAGCGGCACAGCACCTGCCTAGCAAGTGTAGGTTCCCGAGTTTGATTTCCAGTACTAAAAAAAGAAAGAAAAATATAAACGAGGAAGGAAAAATGTTGCTACAGATTTCAGATATATATACTAAGAAACCCTGAACCTAAATGTCCTTAATTCATGTATGAAATGAATGTCATTGGAGGAGGATGTCCTCTGTGTAGTGTCATACCTGGGCCACCTCTGGAGGTGACTTAACATCCCAGCTGTGTGTTACTGTGGCCCTCAGAGGTGCCGGCCAGCTACAGAGATACTGAGAAGCGGGTGAGTGAGGCAGTGGCTCTGTGAGTGCATCTTTACCAAGTATACACTGAATCACTCAGTGATTTTCTGGATGTGGTTGGTTTGTTTTTAAAGAACAGACAGATGTGGACTGGTAAATGGAGAATGAGTAGGTATAGTCCTTCTCTTCCCTTTTTTTCAGACAGGGTCTTACTAGGTCACCCAGACTTGAACTCCCAGTGATCCTCCTGCATTGGTGATCCTGAGGATTGAACTCAGGACCTTGTGCTTGCCAGACAGGTGCTTATGCCATTGAGTTACCTCCCCAGCCCTTCCTGCTTCATTATAAAGGCTGATATTATATTACTGTGAATTAAGGGATATTCTTTTTTTTTTGGTGGAACAGGGACTTGAACTCAGGCCTTTGCACTTGCCAGGGAAGTGCTTATTCCACTGAGCCATCTCCCTGGCCCCAAAGGCTGATGTTATAATTCTTGAATGCCCCATTTCAGTTTATATTGGGCCATATTAACTATCTTAACTAGGGGTTCATGGCGCCCATTTTATATCAAATTAATTTGGGTCAAAAATTTGAATATTGATAGATGTGTTCTCTATGTCTAACATAGGCTGTCCCCTACCAACGGGAAGCTGAACCATTTAGCCTTTGCCAGGTTGATATTACCAAACAGATGGGAGGGGGGCCCTGCCTCTGCCAAGCTATAGCCTCTCCCTGGATCCTGTAAAATAACCCTTTTTCCCCTTTTTCTTTTGAGTGGAATCTTCAGATTGGCTTCTTTCTAAATGTTGAATCTTTTCTTAACTCATTCTCCTTTGGGCTTTGAGCCCTGTTCCTTGTGGTGTGTATGCTGCCGTTTTGACCCCAAAGATGGTTGATGGAAATGTTCACCAGGGGCCCTGGGAGGTAGCTGCTTCCCTCCACTGATGGTGGGCCAGGGGCCAGGTTCCACCATGGTCACTTCACCATTAGGATCACAGTTCTGAGACTCTGTATGTGGACAGGAAGTGTGGTTTCTTGTGCCTTGTTGTGCAAGGACCAGTGTCCAGGGCATGTTTGTCCAGGAGGATTTTGGCCACATTGTGCCAGGGCTTTGAGCCATGTTACCTGTGCATCAGAGGACAAAGTGACAGGAGTAGTCAGCTCTCTGACCTTTGTTGTGTGGCCTTTTAAGTGTGCAGTATAAGTAAGGATATACATGAGATTAGGTCCTATGGGATTCGCATGTGGCTAAACCAGTGTGGAAGCTGGGGATGGGAAAGGCACTGGCTGCCTCTCCCCGATAGCATGCTCTTTCCCTTCTTGTGAGCAGGAACGCACATAAGGCTTCCCCACTGTCCCATGGGTGGTATGCCTAGTGCCAGGTCCTTTCTGTGACCTAGCGGGAATGGAATACCAGGTCACTGATGGCAGCACAGGAAAGGATGGGGTCAGAACCAGGCCGCACCCTCCTTACCTGACTCCAAGTGCTTTCTTCCAAGTAGCTTTATGTATGATACCGTTCCCTGTGATGGCAAATACAATGAACCAAGTTACTGCAGATGAAGGACACTCCACAGGTGACATGAGGGAAATCAACATGTTTTATTCATGTTTATATCTAGTAACATGAATGAAAACCTCATTGAAAGCCAGCCAGCTAGAAATACCGTGCAGAGTGTTTACACTGTTTATGGAGGGCAGAATAGCTCAGTTATCCTGCGTGTCCAAAGTCACCCAGGCTCTTGAGAAAGATCCCACTTACCCAGAGGGCTAGGATGTCTTCAGGACAACCTGCTTCCTCTCCCAGAACAGAAAGGGCCTCAGAGACCCCCACAGTACAGATGCAGTCATTACAGTGGTGGGTCTGTACATGCCAAGAGTTGAGCAGACTGCAATGTGAATGAGAACACAAGCCATGGAGCTTCTCCCCACAGACTAAGCTGTGCTTCCCTTCCTGTGATCTCATCCAGTACTGGGGTCCTGGGGTGTAAGGCACTAGAACTGGAGTTGGAGAAGGTGCTCTGAGCTGCAGTCTCAGCATGCCAAGGCAATCTTTTTTTCAAATAGACACTAAAAATACCCTCCTCTCCTCTAGTAGTTTCTGTTCTTTATAGACAGAAAAACAAGGTGTTTGCAAAGGATTACAAACAGGTGCATTTGTCATGAGAAAAATGGCCCATGAAGAAATGCATAGTTCTTCATCAGATGCACTGTGCTTGGAGAAGAATCATAGAACAAACAATCATGACATTGAATGAACAAAGAGAAGGCAGAGAAAAACAATTTTCTTGAAGAACAGCACAGTGGTAGTGATGAGGGACCACACTGTTGAGTGCTGTGGTGATGTGAATGAGTGGGCTCGCAATTCAGCACCTTCAAGGGGAGGCCAGAAGTGGTGCTCTGCTGACAGCCCTGGCTCGCTGCCGCTTTCTGCAAGTACGCAGGGTGCATGGAGCCCAGGCATGCGCTCTGCATTTACCCTTCCTCCCGCGCTCACGTGCCTGCTACTAAGTCCCAACACACCTATGTTGTGTGGATGCAGCGCTGCTGCTGTTTACAGCAGCACTGGAGTGGGTGCTGCAGAGGAAAACTAAAGCGGCAGCACCTTATTCGGTAGCATCGCCCCAGTGGTGATCAGCACTCTGTCACAGGCATTAGATGCGACCCTAGCCAAGCAGCGTGAAAAGCCAGACACAAACCTGTAGCTCAGCCCTGAAAGCACCCCATTTCAAGTGTTGTGCAGGTCAGGGTATTCCAGGACTTGCTGCAGTGGGAGGCCACTGAAGTTCCCTTGTATCCTGGGTCCCTCAAGGATGGCGAAGGCACGATCAGATGCCAGCACATCTCTTTTAAGAAAGCGCTTGCCACTCGCTCTATGCTGCCACTACCAGCACTCAGGGGGCAGGAGAGGGAGGGTGCCAACATCTCAGGTGCCTACACAAGCAGGACAGAGGGCTCACAGCTGGGGATAGATTTCTTGAGTTTTAGTTACTTTCTGGGAACCAGCCTAAGCAAGAAAGCAAACAGGTGGTAAGACTCTTGTGTCCAGGAAGATGCCCCAGAGAGCATAGCACTCGATGGCAGCTCTCAGGGTCACAGTACAGCTAAATGATCTCTGGCCTGATGGGCATCTCCCATATTGGGGGGTACAGGGACCAAAGGAACAGCACTGGAAAGTGTTATAAAAGGTTAAAGAAGAACAAATATGTGATCTAAGCAGCAAGTTATCCTTTTTTTTTTTTTTTTTTTTTGCGGAACTGGGGATTGAACTCAGGCCCTTGCACTTGCCAGGTAAGCGCTTATTCTTTGAGCTATCTCCCCAGCCCCAAGTTATCCCTTTTTAAAAAAGCTCTTAGTGCATTTTGAATTGAGGCTACCGTCACCTTCATGGCAGTGTAAGGGAGGAGCAGTCTCGCCCACAGAGCTCTGGCAAAGGGCATGGCAGTGCTATACAAGGTGCCTGGGTACACTATTTCAAGGAAGGAGAGGTGCACAGAACATGTAAAAATCTGGGTCTTTGTAGCTTCAAGGCCAACATCCAGTTTCTAGGGTCAAAAAGATTAGGTAATTTATTTGCTGACAAAAGAACAGAAAATGCAGTGCCTCCCCTACAGATAATTTCAAAGAGAAAAGCCCAAAATTAATTGACTCACACTGGTATGTCGACACACAGGGGAGCTTCTATGGCCCTGCTGTCTGAGATTAGATGACACGAGTGAAGGTGTTGTGCTTGTCCTTCCTTATAACTGCCAGCACTGCAGCAGCCGCCCAGGGTGCCGTAACGTCTAGCTTCAGCACTCAGGGCTTCCACTGCCCTCTGTTGCTCACCACCTGGAGTCAGAGACAAGTCTGTTCACAGCACTTCTGTAAGGGCCAGATCCAGAAAACAAGTTGACTGACCCTGCCTGTGTGTGCATGAAAGACTGCAAGCTGGGGAAAGTATTGTACGCCCAAGAGAGGAGACCAGAGATCACTGTAATGAGCCAAAGAAAAATCTCTGTGGTCCACAGCATTCAGTTAAACAAATGATGACCCAGAAGATGACCACTTTGTAAGGAGTAAGAGAATGACCTTTAGTTCTAGAGATTTTTAGAATACTCAGCCCCTCCTCTGTCCCCACATAGCAAGACAAACGCTTCTAGCTTAAAGGAGAAGAGTGACATTAGCCACAGGAGGCCTGTACTTCTAGCTCTACAGTACAAGAAAGGTGCTGCATGATTTTCAGTATACCACTACTTAGAAAGCACAGTGACTTAACAGTAATGAGCTAGACATTAGCAAGTACCCAAAAAAA